TTTTTTACCGTCAAACATTTCTTAAAAACAGTGTAAACTACTCCTGATATGATGTCTATCAAATTTGCTATGTGTCTTAAAGTCAATCATACATCTTCAAATATTATTTGGCAACCAGTACATAAGTTGTTATAATTTTTGTTGGCAAGGAGGGTACACATTTTTGATGCCCATTATATAATTTTTTATCATTGAAATCCACCTGCTCTTTTGTCTATAAAACAGGCATTGGTTGCTATAAATGTCATATATTTCAGTGAATATTTGTGGTCACATAAACTGTTATAAATTCATGAAAGATTCAATAAAGAGAGAAAGTCAAGTTTAATGTCATATGATATCTGTCAAGTTTAATGTATGTTATATAGTTCAGGACATTATTTATTGAACAGCCCTCGTATCTCAGTTGATTCGATACGCAAGAGCATGCTCTAGGTATAAACAATTTCTAAAACGAGGTAAATTATTGACAAGCAAGTTGCTGAAACAAGAATATCATCAGTCTACTTTAAAGCCATCATTACGTAAGTTCTATGGTCAATACAATGAGCTTGTCAGGCTGTCAGCAAATGCAATTTATCATTGAGTCAAAGCTGACTGACGTTTTTCATACCAATTGTTAGTCCATTATTTATACACTGAATTGACGACGGATTTTTCCGTTATTTCCTGATCATGACAAGGAGCACACGACGGGGGGGACCGGTCAGCAGGGGATGCTCATCTTCCTTGGCACCTGATACCACCTCTGATGTTTCGGGGGTCCGTGTTTGCTCTGCTCTTATTTTGTATTGTTTTATGGACTTTGAGATTGAATACTGTTCGTTATCTCCATATTCTCCACGATTATATCATAAACATACATAAAAATCTACAAGATTGTGAATCTCAAGCCAAGGTAGAGACAAAAATTCTTTATATCATAGTAAGCATAATTTCTGTATTAATTCCTAATTATTTTTTAAATTAGGTATTCTGTTCTTTTGAACACAAAACATACTCATTTTATTGACGCCAGTAAAGTATTAGGGTCATTCAAAATATATGTAGACAATTTCTTTAATTTCATTGCTCTATTATTTTGCCAGAATTAGGATATATCGATCATCGTATTTTCATATGTGAATACATTTTATTTTGTAAATGTGTAAAGTTTTGTTGTATTAATGAAATGATGCTTTCAATTTTAAAAGCAACGTGGTCTTTCACTACGGACTGTAAGTAATTCTAAGCAAGTTGCTGTCCGTTAATAAAACAACTGCAATACTTGGACCATATGCATATGGAAATAGCGAACAGTATTCAATATCAAACTCCATAAAACAATACAAAATGAGCATTCCCTGCTGACCGGTCACACCCTCCGTATGCTCCTTGTCATGATCAGGAAATAACGAAAAATTCCGTTGTAAATTCAGTGTATAAATAACGGACTAATAATTAGAATGAAAAAGGCCAGTCAGCATTTAATTATGACTAATTGTATTTGCTGACAATATTCATGTAGGTTTGTTCACATTTTCTACAATGATATGCCTACTAATAACTGATTGTAGTTCAAAGCAAAATTGATAATCATCTCCGATTAGCCTTTAGTTTTGTCAGTTTAAAAAATCAGGCTTTTTTGATACATGTAACCCATAGTGACTGTGACTCGACACCTCATCTGGATCCATGCGGAAGAAATCTATCATGGGAAAAATACATTTGATAGCACACTTGTAATGCAGCTCTGTAGACTAGTATGGAGATTCATTTTGTCAGAGCCCCCCTCCCCCACATTAAAAACTGTTGCTACAGACCTCTATCAAACGGTATTTGGATTACTGAAACATCACATTATTTTGCAAGCCTGAATGCACAAAACTAATGCCGGTAAAAACTTGTTCTATATTATAAAAGCTAGAACTACACTGTAGTCGTTAAATGACGTTTTTTTTATTCAAGTTCTTAATTGAGTTACATTTATCTATATACTGCATGTTCTTCGTTTTATTTTAAAATGCTTGTGCCATAGAATCAATGTTTAGATTGTATACGAGAGTATACATATTGAGTATATGCATAAGAGAGAAATTCGCCGATGAATATAAAAATATGAAGTACGGGTTTAAAACCGCGATTTGCCAATGAATGGCCTATTCTAATTCGAACTGAGCGAATTATTCTAAGTTCAAGTTGCCTAAGGGGCAAATTCTCTGGGTGGCAGAGGATAGTTTTTTTTTCAATCAAAATGTTTGACTGACGGATTACTTAATACTGAGCTGCCATTAAAGAGTGCATTGAAAAATTTTAAATTCTCTCTACATGTAATAATAGCATGATAAAGTCCCTTGAGGGTTTTTAAGCTTTTAGGAATAAAACATGTACAATTTACATACTGAGCCCTAATGATGGCACAGGGACAATCTCAAAATTCCATGTAAATCAAGCTGATTTTAACTATTTCGCCGCAGCCGCAACTGCTTCCAGATTCGTGCTAATGACCTAAACTACAACATAAATACATGTAATTAATTGCACAACGTTTGCACATACCACTGAACAGCAAGTGATAATTGCTCAACCAACTCGTTTTAAAGCTACAATTTATCCTATGAACCCAGCCCACGTTTCTGTTGAAATACCGGAAGAGTGATTTTTGATCTTAGTTTAGTATTCCTAGCCCATATCATATATACAGTAGTAGTGACACTAAAGTGTCACATTTAAATAAAATATACAAGGCCACTAATTCCCTCCAAATGCACCCATAAAATATTTTAGCTTTAAAATTACCTATGATATGCATTCAAACCTTAGGTTTCTCCATTTCTTTTCTATTTTTCATCGGTACTTAATCCGAAACTATCCTCTACCTCCCTAGGTTCCACGTGCATGCAAAGCCTGTCGTTTGGCGTGGAATCCAGTTTAACCTCGCTTTTATTTTTACTGCGTGGACCTCAGGGTCCACACAATGATATCTTTTGAATGAAGCGATTTTTTTATATTTCATTTAAGTATCTGAAATTGTATAACAATACTGTAGATCACTTAATTTTCGCGACACCTTATTTTCGCGAGATAGTCAATGACTCTTTATTAGCGAGACAAAATTTTCACGAATTGTGGTTATTGCTCTATATAATCTTAAGGAATTCTATTATACGCGAGAATGAAATTTTCGCGAGCATACCGTCTCGCGTAATTACGCGAAAATAAAGTTCTCGCGAATAAAAAGTGATTTACAGTACTTAATCTTAGCCTAAACATTTTTCTCCTTGAAGCGCCATTTATTACAACTGTTTAGCTAGAAAAGTATTCCGTTTTGACCCTGCTGTGTGTTCCTGGTTTTGATGAACGTGTTGCTTGTTTCGATTTTGTAGGCAGGCTGTGAGCCTTACGTCCAAAACATTTACCACATGGACGTCCAAGGATTCCACAACCAGTTGAGAGAACGAAAGTTTTCGGAACATGACCTGTGTCCTAGGTGTAAGAAAAAAAAAACAGAGCTACCCACCAAAAATGGTGAGGTGATGTTATATGGAAGACACCATTCAGATAATGGTTGTACTAGAAAATGTAAATTACCACAGTGTTTTCGGTGTGGAGGAGACATAGCATTTTACTGTAACACGTGTAAACGGGACATGTGTCTGCAGTGTAAAGAAAGACATGTTACACACTACCTCACCAAATTTCATCAAGTGGTATTATATAAAGCCTGTAAATGTAAAGTACCAATGTACAAAGAAGCCTTTACTAAACAGTGTGGTCCTCAGTGTCAGGAGGACACAGAATTTTACTGTTACGCGTGTAAACATAACCCGTGTCTACATTGTAGAATGGGACATCTTGGAAACTTCCTTATCGAACATCATAAGGTTGCATTATATGAAACCTTTACCAAAAAGTGTAAGATACGGCAGTGTTCCCAGTGTCAGGGGGACACAGAATTCTACTGTAACACGTGTAAACAAGGCCTTTGTCTACAGTGTAAAGAGAGACATGTTATAGATCTGGATACCATAGACCACGATGTTGTGATTTACCGCGAGAAATTTGAAAACATCTCAAGAGAAGAGATACGTTTGAGAGAATTAAAAACACCATATAGCAAATGTTGTAAATCATGCGGTATGTGTCTTCTATACCAATGTAGAAGAAGAGAGATACAAGACAAAGTGATCAGTGAATTTATATATATAGAAAAGCGTTACCGATACGATATTTTTATTCACAATGTCAAAAGTGAAAAACTTTATAACAGCTGTTCTCTTTTGGCACAAATTAAAACTGATATGAAAACACTTCAGACAGAAATCTCCAACCGACAATCAAACGTATCAGCTTTATACGAGACAGTTAAAAACCGAGCAATTTGTGATCTTACAATCAGGTATTCAAGTTATATCAGACAAAGATTACAACAACAGAAGAAATTAATGAACATTCATTTGGCCAGAGTTGAGCATTATGAAAGCAATTATATACAATCAACAAACAGACCAGTAAATTTTCTCTTAAAATTTAAGAAAAAAGGAGTTTCCAAAAATAAAAAAACATGTAAACTTCCAAAATACGCTCTGCTTTCCCTGACGGAGAACATCAGCATGGAAGATGTGATCAAGATATTGAACGAAATCCTATTCATGGAGACAACAAAAAGGCATATTTGTATTGCATATCAATTGGAAATGTTATCTAAACCCGTGTTAACCAAACTTTTGATAGCCACAGGTGTTACAGAGGTAGATTATATTTCCGTAATGAAATCAGACCTGCTTTGGGTTAGTGATCATTTCAGTATCATATTAACAAACACAGAAGGAAATGAATTACATTGTCTAACAGATTGTGGAAATCGAGCACACACTGTAAATAACACTCTTGATCTTATTTACATTGACAAAAATGATAATATCAATAAATTATCTCACAATAACAGAATAGAATCTACATTGATAACGAAAACTGGACCATGGATACCACGCTTCGTCTACTTTTCACCTTATAGTAAAACTCTGCTGGTCGGCATGTTGAATACCGATACATGGACAGGAAAAATAACAAGATATGATCACGAAGGACAATATATACAGACCATACAACACGGCAACACAGGCCAAGAACTGTATAGTGATCCAGCTTACATAACAGAAAATAGCAATAGAGATATTATTGTGTCTGATTGGGACCGTGGTGCTGTAGTGGTGACAGACAGTACGGGTAGGCATCGTTTCTCCTACACAGGCCCTCCATCAGGATCACCACTAGCACCACGTGGAATCTGTACTGACGTGCTGTCACACATCCTTGTATGCGATGCCAACACAAACACTGTACAGATGATAGACAAGGATGGCAATTTCCTGTCAGTGATACTGACACAACAACACGGAATACATAGACCATGGTGTTTGGGATATGATAACAAGAAACACCTTCTATGGGTTGGATCATTGAATGACAACAGAGTGTTTGCATACAGATACATAAACAGACATGATTATCTGACAGGTACATGTAAGGAGTGATGATATCAGTGAAGAGGGAGTTTACGGAGTACTGTAAACAATATATTTTAGAGGAAGCATTAATAAGACACATGAATTACAGGAATTTTTTAAATAAATGAAATCACAACTTTTAACTAAAGTCAGAAACATTTTGCAGTCATTTTATCGAGTAATGAAAGTCCAGGTTTTTTAATATGTTTGACAGCTGCAATTTCAATAAAGAAATGGAAAACCAAAATTCATTCGTTGGGTCCGGTGCCTGCAGGCTACGATGTAGACGTGTCGAGTGGCTAGAGAGTGATTTTTTTCTTATTCAACAGGCTTGCGTGCTAATATGAACAATTGTAGTATGCTGTTTCCAAACAAAAAAAAAATGCCAGAAAAAGGTAGGAGCAGTCAGAAAGTGCAAGACCAATTTTTAATAGAACCGGAGAAAACTTCGTCACAGGAAACTCGAAAGAGTAAATCGAAAGACGCAGGAAGAGCTGGTGAGAAGGCTGAGAAAGTTGAGAAAGGGGGTATTTCTAAAAATGACCTCAAAGAACTTATGATACAATTATTTAAAACAATGGAGAAGAATATTGATGACGATTGACGACGATGTACAAGTCTATCGACAATAAGTTCTGTGCATTCAACGACTTTGGACGTCCTTGAGAAAGCTATCCAAAGTCAAGACGACAAAGTAACGGAGATGGAGTATTCTCTCTCAAAACATAAAGCTCTTTGGAAACTAGAGTTAAACGTTAAGGGGCTGAAAAACTACATTACTTACCAAGAAACACACCAAGGAAGTATAATGTTCTTAGAAATGGTGTAGAAAGAGTGAAAAAGAAAATGTTGCAGAAGTGGTGTGAAAGCTTTTTGCTGATGATTTAGGAATGACTAGGAGAGCATCCGACAAATTCTTATCCAAAATACTCCCGAACAACACGACTACCAACTCTTATCAGGAGTCAGCGCCAGAAGCCATAATCGTGAAATGCGTCAGAATGGAAGACCGCAATGACTAATGAAGGTCAGGAACAATAACTTGTCAAAAGGAATACCTGTGAGAACAGACTTACCCGGTCATCAGAAGAAAAAAAACCGCAGCATCCTTTCCCAACAAGCATACAAGCTTAGACACGCTCGTCTCAAAACGCGTATAATTGAGGGGGGGGGGGGGGGAGGACGAAGTGGAACTACAGTACTGTAAGCCAACTGACACAATCTGGATGAAGTAGACGGACTCATAAGTAGTTTTCTCCTTATATTTCATAAAGGTTTTCTTCTAAGCATATGCAGGAAACTTTTTTTTCTTCAGTTTTTCAATCTATAATGACTGAGCGTTGTGTATGTCTAATTATGTGTATGTTGGGTACATGTTCAAATCTATATACGAGTATGGCTAGTAAGCTTAAAATTATTTTCATGAATTGTAGAGGACTACATGATCAAAGTGAAAGGAAAGATGTATTCAAATATTTAAGAGAACATAATGCAACACTTAACTGCCTACAAGACACACATTGTACAGAAAACGAGAGAATTTTTAAATAATTTTGGAAAGATGAGTTTGAAGCTTTCTACGAATTAAGAATTATGATTGTGTCTGACAGCTTGTCAGGCTGCTGAGTATTTAGTATATTTTTCCTTCTTATAACGTCTTACCTGTCGTAAGAGGAAATATGGAATGGTTTCCAATCAAACGTGACGGCCACATCAAGATCGGGTTATTCACCATGAACTTGTTTAAAAACAACATAACTACCTCTAAAACTACTACTAATTGAAAAAGTTTTAATAATCGTTACATTCACCCCAATAATGAAAGATACCAATGGCCAGATACTGGTGTGTGAGTTATTTATTATTCATCAGTGTTCTGCTCACTTCTCGTTTGTCTAATTTTTCAGAATGTTATCCTCCGAACCAATGTTTACAGGGTTTGTTAAGACTTACTCCTTAACATAATCTACTGTAAAAGCACAAATATTCGTGGGGGATTTTCGGTTTTTTCTTTGTTAAAAAAATTCAACGAAATTAAATCCCACACGAAATTTTATCTGACTATATATTGAATAGGGTTAGTTTTAAAACAACGAAATTAAATGCACAAGAATTTATTTCTGATGACAAAACAACGAAAATTTGTGCTTCTACAGTATGTTAGATCATCTTTGGTAAGATGGCAATATTAAGATATCTAATAACTGTATATACTATAAAGATTGGGCTGAAAAAGGTGTAAATACATGAAAGATTTGTTTCTTCCTGATAGTCAGTCTACGAGTTTTGAAGAATTTTGTGAGGTGTATAATCTTTCAACCCCTATTACATTATTTCAAGGTGTTTTACAAAATGTCAGAAAAATGAATTCAACTTTTACTGTTAATGATGTTCTTTATAACTCTCCTTGTTATCCCAATTTCTATGAAATAATGTTCAAGAGTCAAAAGGGATCAGAGATTTTTATGACATTTTAATTTCACCTAGAAGGAATAAACCAAGGTATGAAAGTAAATGGAAAAAATGCTTTAGGTTAGAAAGTAAACTAAATGTGGTGGAAAACGCATGGGATATTTTTAGCATCAGTGAAGATGTACAACAATGTTTCAATATTCAAAGAAAATAGGAATTATAAACTTATAACACAATTAACTAATGTGTTTGGATTAAGAAGACTTTTGTAAGTTCATAGTTTTATCATAAAGTCACAACAAAGGTTAAACAAACAATGGTACATGGAAAGTTCAATTACAAAGATCTCGGAGCCAAGATGGTAAAAGCTCACATAGTCATTATGTCACACAAGTCCCAGAGCTAAGTTCGTATATGCTCTCATGGTCCGTCTCGGAGCTAGGATGGTAAAAGCTCTTATAGTCCGTCTCGGAGCTAAGATGTTAAAAGCTATTGATACTCAGTGCGCACATCCTTTTGTACAAGAAGCTGCATCATAGGGTTCACATATTTGGTAATAGCAATTAGTTAGTTAGAGTGTCACTTCATTAATATTCATATTGTCCGCCCCTCACTGAAGCTCTGTCTCCCATCTCCTTATAGGATACGGCAATGTCCTCTGTTTACATTAACATTATGCATCTTGCACATTCTTCAGTTAATTAGATGGCTGCAGCTCTGCACAAAGTCTGATTGGAAGTGTCAATGCTTGAGAACAACACATCGTAAAAACTAATTGTCCGTCAAATGAAGACGCTCTGTTATTGTATTCTATCTCCCAGAGTTTGTAAACAAGTTCGTAATTAAGATACTATTGTCTGTCGCGTTACACACTGATAGTATCAATTATAATTCATAACACAATATTAAAACATAGATAAATGTACTGTACAAATTAATATACCAATTAAACTTATAATTTATACGCTCATTGTGTTACATTCCTCCCCAAACCGGAGGAAACATTGTCCAATGTTTCATTAAATAAATCGCACTAACACAATGAGTTAAAATGTCCATAAATTAATCACTTTAAAATATCAATAACACACAACACACAGATGTCCAAATAAGAATGTCCCGAATTGTTGATCGAATTATGATGAATGTCCCTTGAAAAAACGGCGACATCCACTTGACCATCATTTCTTCATTACGGTGACATCTCGTAGAATGGGTTGAATATCCCTCCAATTCGATGACATATATTATGAATGCCCCTTAAACTCGGTGACATCTACTGGATAATAATAAATGTTCCTTTAACTCGGTGACATCCCAGACATGACACATTGTCATAATGTTTGTGATCGTATAGTGGTAATAAAAGTTCATGCATCACAGCAAACGAAAAAAACACAATGTTGTAATCTGCAACAGAGTTAATTAAAGCTTTCTGCTTAATTGTAACTGGTCAGTCCGAGACTTGTATACATGGTGTTGATCTTTGTTGCTGTTCATCATCAACATCAGAAAATTTCGTCTCTGCTTTCTAAGAACCATTGTGGGTATAGTGATCTTGTAGTCTGCAAAACTTTTTTCTGGTTAATTTCAGTATTCTCCACGCTCGTTACTGGTGCAGATGGAGCTTTGTTATGTTCAGTCTCTCTGCCTTCTAGATACTTGGTCACCCTCGACTCTGAATAATTGGCTGAGATATTATACCTAGATCATTTATTTCTGGACAACCAATACACTTTTGACCTTGACCTTTTATACCCATATTTAAAGATAGAACACATTTACCTCCATAATAATGGTACTTATTATCCCCAGGAGAATGTATATACCCTTGTCAGTCAACCATTTTAAGTTACGGGAATACTTAGTATATTCTCATAGTTTATTTATCTTTTTCAATTTATAAAGAAAATCTTGGAAATGTGGAATCAAGAAGGTCACCTTAAATTGTTGAACCAAAAATCGCTTTAAGATGTCTGAACAAAGAGTCAACTTAAAATCACAAATAGCGATGTATGTCACTCAAAATGTATTTCACTTTTATACCAGAAATGATTAGATTAGTCACAGAGAGGCTTCACATAAAGAAAACAACCATGTAATCATTTTATCAAGTCTCAATTTTATTCTAGGTTAGATTTCATCATCTAAAAATGTCATACTCAGACACATTACTTAGCGTAATCCTAGAACATTCATGCTTTTCAACATCAAACTTCAAGATTAAACTGTCATTTAAGTACTAGTTCAGAAAAAATATTCCGATATGTCATACCCAGACACGCTACTTGCTGTAGCACTAGTGATAGATGACGATACTTGTTTTAAAATGTAAAATTGTTTAAAGTAACAATTTTAGGGTAGTCTTAACGGCTTTTAACGTTTTCGCGTTTATTTCTTTACAGCGTGTTAGTTTCTTAGCACGAGACCTTGGTATGTAACATTCATTTATGTCCATTTCATCAAAATCTGTCTCATGTTCAGTCTCAGTGTCATTGGCATCATCTATTTCTTCAGAATCCATGTCTTGCTCAGTGTTCGTCTGTTTTCGTTTCAGGCGCTTGGACAACTCCCATAAAGGTATATCGTCCTCATCAGACCAATCGTCTCTTTCCTTTCTAAATTTATCAGCAAGTCTAGCTAATGGTGTTTCGTCATTGGGGTCATCAGTGTCAGGTACATTGTCATTAATATTTTTGTTCTCTTCGTCTGTTTCGTCACTTTCAGGAGGTATTGCATATGCTGCATTTCTTATAGGTCTACCATCTTCCCCTTCCAGAATTTCCCAATCTAATTTTGCCAATCGCAAGAGTTCTTTATGTGTTTTCACGACTCGACCGTCCAACTGATTTTTAATTTTGAATGTCACTGGCGTAGTTTGTTCAATAACGCGATAAAAGGGTTTCCAATTACTTTGCAATTTACTTTGTTTTTGATTGTTTTTATAATAAACTGGATCTCCCACTTTTATTTCTTCGTTTATAGCGTTCTTATTTGCATATTTCATTTGTTGTTGTTTTGCTTTTTTCATTAATCTATGAACGCGCGTAAAGGTTTTGTGTTGTTCCTGAAGCGCTATTTTATGTAGGTCTTCACCCATGTACTTACGTCTAGGTTTCAAAATTTTATCGATTGGTAAAACAACATCCCTGTTGTACAGCAAGAAAAAGGGTGAAAACTTGGACGATTCAT